ATATTTACATAGCACTCCATCCTCCATTCCCAAAACCTGCAATGAGGACCTTTGTCAGAGAGTTTCTAAATTTACTGTAGAAGTCAAATTTGCCTCATTTAAATCTTACATCAAGATATTATTATTCTCCAAAATGTGTTTGTTCAGACTATGATAATCTGCTGGTGGCCTGAATCAGATGCTATAGATTATAACCTATATTTTTTAGTGCAAGTTCTCCTTTTATTTTAATAGAATTTGTGTAGCTGCAGAGTTGCCCCACTCAGCCAAGGGTAATCACTTACTGGGATTAAACTCACATACAAATTATGAACTCAAAAGAAACTACTAATAATTAAACAGGTGAGTCAGTAAACAGAAAAAAGGCAGGCAAAACCAAAAGAGATCCCTTTACCTCTTAACTTACATCTCTCTTTTCTATACTTGCCCTTGATATCATTGTAGATATTTTCTGTGTGTGCATGCGTGTGTGTGTGTGTGTGTGTGTGTGTGTGATTTCTGCAGCTTAGAAATACTGTATTAAGAATTTTCAATACTAAATAACCCAACAAATGACAGCCAACATGTTTTTTTCTTTCTTTCTTTCTTTTCTTGGATCTTCTCCACAGTTAAAGTAAATCTGAATTACATTTCTGACAAAGGGAGGGAGGATATAAAAAAATGTCAGAGAATGAGTGATCGAAAAATAGAATCAAGACTTTTGTACGCTCCCATTCATTTGCTATCCCTTCCTCCATTTCTCTGACCTATTTTGCTGGTAATGATTGGTTTTTCACACCTGGAGACCACAAAACCCTGGCGTGAGATCCCGCCTGCAGAATTAAGTGTGAGTATCCAAGCTCTTCATCCATTAGGAGCTGAAGCTTTCTTCAACTTTGTCGATCCTTGTTTCACCATCAGGGTGGCTAATTTCAAGGCCATTGATGAGATTTTTTTTTATATAGTAATTTTGCTTCACATAGATGAGACAGAATCACACACATAATATATTAAAATATCAGGAGGGGACTGAGGTGTACAACCAGCAATTTCCTTTCTTACTTGGAAGTTTGTATATGTTTTCTTATCTCAAATATCCCTAGTTCCTTAAAAAGCACCCTTAATAAATTATCTTTGTATTAGTATTGCTATCTACTAGTATGTATTTGTCCTTCAGAGCAAATCTATATTCATACTTCATTGAAGCTAAGCAATCAGCTTATGGAAGAAGAAATTCAACCCTTTCAAAAGGATGGAATGAACCACATGAGGGTGTTTCTGTAATAACATAACTTGATTTTCTGAAATTTCAGAGTCCTAATATATAGCTTTCTACCTAGCAGAAATTAGAGCTGACACCCAGCAATAAACTGAGATTTTTTTTCTTGTCTTTCTATATAGATTGGGAATGAGTCAAGGACAGGAACCAAGTCTTATCATTTGTGTACCCACAATACCCAAATTATTATTTAGCACATAGTAGGTCTTTAATAATTATTGTCAAATTGAACTGAATTTGCTAACAACTCAGAATCAAAACATTTGCTTTCAACAGCAGATAAGGTAGAATACTTCTACCTTTTTATGATCATATTTCCTCTGGTCAGTGGAATTTTATTTAGGAGACAATAAATAAATTATAGTGATACTTCCTTCCAAGTGGAATTGAATTTATATCACAAAATCAGTTTTTGAAATCTGAGCATTCTATAAAGAGTAATTCTAATCAGAAGGAAAAAAAATACCACAACATCCTTGAATATTGATCTGAAGTTCAAGTTAACTACTGAAGCAGGATCCTGTAGAGATTGACACTGGGACTAAAGAATACTCCAGTATTTTCCTTCTTAGAAAGTAGGAAATCTAGTTAACCTTCATGTTTCTCACATTTGAGCCATACTACAAATGAGTTGTGTCCAGGTTACAGAAAAACCAACAATATTTTATTTATAATCTTATTTTAAGCTTTTGAACTACAAATTCTGGTTCTAGAGTTGTTTAAAAGTCATGGGTTTTATAGATGCTCATATGTAAATTAATCTGTTGTTTGCTTACTTTGTTTTACTTTTCTTTTCCATAGAATGGTCCTCCTCATAAATACAGAACAGATCATTACATGAAAAATATAAGACCTTGCATTTCTTTCTTGTTCTTTCTTAAAAATCTATTTCTAATATTGCATTCCCCATTGGACTACTTCATAAGGGTATGAGGGAAAAAGAAGAAAAGAAAAGAAAAGAGAGCGAGCGAGAGAGACAAAATAGACTGGATCTCACCACTAGAATTCACCATAAAAATCTCAAAGTGTAACAGAATTCTTACAAAATTTCCTAGACCAGTTCTTTAGGGAATTGAGATCTATGAAAAATATGGCAATCGGGGAAGGGAGGGAACCAGATGTGGGAAAATAGTAAATAACTGCAGCAAAAACAGGTTCTGAGGAATACACATCATTTTGTCTGCTTTAGATCACAATAGAATTTTTAATAAATAAATTTCTTTTTTGTTTTTTTTTGTAAAGACACTTTTTTTGAAACAGTAGATTTAGCCCAGTCATTTGTGTCATTTTTAATAAACTGTCTCTTTTTTTTTTGATTGTTTGTTTTCTGTAACTCTGTAAATGTTTTAGATTTGAGTCTCTTGTACATTGTCTTTAGAGTTCATTCGGATCAATAACGGTTCATGCACTGAACTGTGTATTGAATTTATTGTGTTAACTGTTGTTGTGTGGTTGAAGGGAGATTTGTAGGAATTATAGTGGTTTAGATGCTCATGCTCGATAGCAGGCATGGGCAGGTGGCTTTCCATGGGTGTGTCCCCTGTGATCTCATCATCCACGTTGATGATTTCAACAGTCCTTGTCGGAGCGTGATGGTTTTGCCTATGGTGCTGCTTTCTCATCTTGTAGAAGATGACCAGCATCACTGCCGCCATGAGTGTGATGGCCACGAAACACCCAATGATGATTTTGGTGGTCTTCATGACCTCATCGATTCCTGGGATCCCACTGTTGATATCAGTCACTGGGATGGTGAATGTTTTTTCTGTTGACCTTGTGCTCTGTGGCATGAGAGAGGTGGTCACATTAGTGGTCTCCCAATCAATCACTGGAGTGGGGCCCACATTGTTGTCTGTGGTCCGTGCCTCATCCTGAGAAGGTTCCATTGTCTCTACTGTGACAGTGGAGAAGTAAGAGAAGGGAGTCGTGGTTGCTGCAGTAACATTCAGGGTGGCTGAAGCAGTAGTGTTCCCAACAGAATTACTCACCATACACGTATACATGCCTGTATCTTGAACGGTTACATTCGTGAAATTTAATGTACCGTCACTGAGCACAGCTATCCGTACTTTGTACGCCCCGTGTGTCATGACTGTTCCATTTGGAGTGATCCAAGACACGGACGTCAGGGACGTGGAGGCCCGACACTTTAGCTCAGCTGCCATGCCTTCAGTGACATTGAGGTCTGCAGGGGGTTCCACAATCACAGGAGCATAGCATGTGAAATAATTCTGGTCGAGCTCCCCGATGTACCTCCCTTTCAGATTGGGAGGAGTGTTACACCGGGCGCAGCAAGCTGTGTTGGAGGGGGCCATGTCTTTTATCCACCAGCTGAGCCACAGTATGTCACAGTTACAGTTCCAAGGGTTGTGATGTAAGTGTATCCTCTCTAGATGATGCAAGGGTGTAAAGAGGTCATGAGGCAGTAATGTGAGATTGTTGTGGGCCAGGTTGATCTCCACTAGGGACTGAAGGTTATCAAAGGCATTCCGTTCAATCACTTGAATCTGGGACTGTATCATCCACAGTTTTTGAAGGTGCATCAACCCCTGGAAAGAGCCAGGCCTGATTGCGGACAAGTGATTCCCAGAAAGATCTAGCTCATCCAGTTTTATGAGCGGTGTGAGGTTAGGGATTTCCCGGAGGTTGCACATGGCAAGGTTCAAATACCTCAAGTTGGACAGACCTTCAAAGGCACCTTCTGAGATATATGAAAGCCTTTTCAATTCCCCTAAGTCTAGTCGCCGCAAGGAAGGGATTCTGTTAAAAGCATAAGAAGGGATGCTTTCAATGGGGTTGTTTCGCAACCAGAGCTCCTTCAGTTTAGACAAATATACAAAAGCTCCATTCGGGATGGTAGTAAGACGATTGTCAAAGAGTTCCAGAGTGTTGAGGTTCGCCAGACCATTGAAGGCCCCAATTTCAATGGTTCTAATATGGTTCCGACTCAACTGGAGGATTTCCAAGTGCCTCAAGTGCTTGAAGCTGTTCACTTTGATGATCTGGATTTGGTTCTCATGAAGGTTCAGCAGCCGCGTGTTGGTGGAGATGCCATCTGGAACCTCACGCAGGTTTTTCCGAACACAAATCACCTTGCTGAACTGGTTGCTGCAGGAGCACACGGAAGGGCAGGTTTGAGCCCGCACCAGACCAGCCACCACAAGAAGTTGAAGAGCCAGCAGCACCACAAGCAGGGGGTCAAATAGGGCCCTGTTAAACCTAGGACCTATCATTATCTGCTGTGGATGTAAGGTCATCTTGTTCAACATTCATAATTTATCTGGTGTTGGTCCGTCTGGAGTTCAAACAATCTGAAAAATACATAGAAGGAACAAAGGGGTATTAGAGCTTCAGTAAGTGAATTTCTGGAGAATGTTAGTGATACAGTATATCAGCTGATACCATTATTTGCCATATTGAAAGAGACAACAAATCTAATGTCCCTTATTGAGCTTTGTGGCCCATTATTCACGGGAAATATCTCTGCCTTCCAAATTAACCACCGCCCATAGCCAGCATTCTATCAGAAGTACAATCACAGAGAAATGGACCAATGATGGGGAGAGCCTTAATACAGTGCTCATCAACTGAGTGTGACCTAAGCTCATAAAGAAAGATGTGTTGAATTTTACAGTTGGTTTCAGTATCCATGACAGATTGGAAAAAAAATAGGACTTTGGGGTTATACCCTGCAAAAAAATTAGTAAAGACTGATTTTTCATGGGAAGTCATTATCTATTCCAGGCACCATGGGCTATAGAATTCAAAATTAACTTTATCCAGTAGTGGCTACATAATTCATGGGCCCCAGTGTAAAATTAGAATGTGGGTGTGTTGCTTAAAACTTATAAAGAATTTAAAATCAGTGATAGCAGACCATTAACCCAAATAGGCCCTTCTAAACATGGGTTATCTTGTTTACCTTGTATTGGGGGATAATATCAGCTGTAGGTACTGGCATCTTAATTTAAAGTGCCTTTGAAGATGTACTGAAATAGTGATGTGTATATATGTACATAAATTTCATGAGATTTTTCACATCCATAACTCATTATTATATAGGTAACTACTACCTCTAGGCAAACAAATCACATATTAAATCATTTCTAAAGCGGTATAATTTTTATTTTCAGGAAAAATTTTGTATAACAGGACTATTGTGCCTTATGTCCCTACTCTTACTGATTTGTAGATACAGCAACTCACTTTATTTCTTTTTGCTAGCAAAAGGAAGACTTCTAAAACAATGTGTGTTTTCTAGTATAGTCCTCACCCAAC